CTCCGGGGGAGAGGCGGCGGGCCTCGGGCACGGCCCGGGCTCAAGACCCGTTGGGAACCGTGTCTTCTTCCATTTCCTCTTCAGCGTCCTCCGATGGGCCTGAAAGGACACGTCAGTTCCGGGGCAGTTACTGCAAAGGTTCGTTTTCTTTTCCACAGGGGCGATATTAATTTTCACCCCGCTGAAGAGGGGCAGTAATAACGTGAACTCTTAAAAAACGCTGCAGAAAGAAAATCTACGTAGCACTAATATACAGAAAACAGGCCAAGTTGCCAGTCTGCAGTTAGGATTTGTCCCTGCAGAGACCTCTCAGAGATCAGAGAGACGTTCCTGTGCCCCCACCGGAGGCACTAATGCTCGGAACAACTGAGGCCAGATACACTTTGTAATTAATTCCCCCCCCTCTTTTTTTTTAAGTAAGTGGGATAACTGTTGGAGTTAGCCAATACAGCGAAGCTCTTAGGGCTGACGTTTGGCACCTTGCTCTCGAGAGAGTCCAGGTGTAACAGCCCTGAGCTGCACTCCGGAGGCCAGGCGGCTAATATGCCAATTACAGAGTCTTACGGATGCGATCCTCAATTACACCGACCATAAAGTTACACTCATTTTAAACAGGTTTTTTTCAACTCCCTGACTGTTTGGCCCTTCCAATGTAACTCCCTACTGAGATCACATAAAGCATCAGGAAGCAATGAAGAGAGGTAGATTCTGTTTGGGAAACAAAAGTAGTAGAAGTATAGAGTGACCTGATTTTCGTTCTCTGCCAGGAATCTGACCAGCCTGTAGTAAGCCTTTCAGTCGCTCCACTTCAGCCAAAGTCGTGGCATTTGCTATAGCAGTCTAAAAAACAGACAAAAGAACACGATCGATCTTCGCATACAGCATTTCAGTCTGATTAGAATAAACGTAAGAACAAGATTTTTTCCCAGTTAAGTGAAGCTAAGCTTCTATAGAAAGTTCTACAAAATTCTAGTTCTAGAAAGTTCTACAAATGACAAAGCACAATCTTACTTCCCCCCTTATTAAACAAGCTGCTCTACCCTGGGAGAACTCAAAGCTCAGACCAAAGTTTCATTTAAGATCTCAAAAAACACGTCTGTTGTAACAGAAGAAAAATTACAGAGAAAGCACCTAAAACAAAGTTAGGACACACTGTTCTATTCATCTGAACAGTCCGGGGTTGCCAGGAGGAAGGAAACGTTTGTTCAGTTCAGATCCACGACAGTTTTTCTCCTCCGCTTCTGCCCACGTGTGCTGTCCCGACATATTTACCTTAATTGCCTCAACGTCCCCTGGGGAGGGCCCGGCTTTCTTTTTGTCAGTTGGCAGACCCGCACCTGGATTGAAGCTTCAAAGGAAAAATAAAGATCCATTACACCCTTTGAAGAGTATGTGCTTCTCTAACTTCCAAACTAGGTTTGGAAGCATTTCATTCAATCAAGTGTAGTATCTTATCTTTGTTAACAAACTGATACAGTGAAGAATTGCCTCCTTCAGAAACACCAGCAACTTGTCCTCGCTGTCCCATTTACCCCCCACCTTTTCATCTCCTCATAAAGAGAGGCAGACCTTAACTTTATAAATTAAGCAGTTGACAAGAGCTGTTCGATTTGGATGTTGTTGAACACTCAGGTGGTCTGTCACCGTTACAAAAGCAGGGTGGATAAATACAGAGTAACTGAAATTTGGTTTCCTGTTCTTGTATGTCTAATATGGTATTACAACAGCCTATATTAAAGCCTACGCTAGACTGGATGTAATCTTAACACTCAAAAGAAAAAGGTTATCTCCTGCTGCTTTAAGGAAAGAAGAAAAAATCCGTAGTCTGAGAAAATGGATGTTACTGAGTAATCGGCTGGAAAGAATTTCCTGAAGTGCTGACCCAGCATCAGAGTGCTGCAACCTCTTTTGCGGCTACAGAAGGATTTTCTTTGTATCTGTTTATTGAGCTATTTAGTTCAATCACCTACTTGTTCTAAAACTATCACGGACCTGAACCCTTTTCTACCCATGAACTAGAGCTAGAGTCCATCTATTATAGTTTTAAATGCTAAGTATGTTCAAGGTATTTTTTTATTTAACTATGAATTTGGAAATGCTGTTGCTATACATGATCTGAAATCTGGTTACGACGTACCACTGAAGAATTGAACTAAATAAGCATATATTTGTAATAGCTTAACTAAAGATTTTCATCTGCGTTTATCCTCCTAACTACAGCAGATTTTATAGTTTATATTCCCTGGCAAAACAAAAAAATTTAGTTACCAATTATCTAGGGAAAAAAAACCCAAAATAAACAATGGCCACCTCTCTGCAGTTAAATTACAAAAAGAAAAAGTAAAATTAAGGTTTCATGCTTGCTGACTTAAACCAATCCACCCTGACCAAATATGTCTTTCAAAAATATTTGAGTTGTATTCACCACCATCCAAAAATCGGGATGCTTGGACAAGACACTTGTGGCTACCAAAGCTTTTAACGCATCCCACCAGTAGCTGATATTTCAGTTTACTGCCTAATATCGCACACAAAGAAAGTGGTGTTTCTGAAGGAGAATGCCAGTGTAAATTTGTTTTTTTATCTTACGTTTTTGTTCTCCTGGCAATATCCTTTGCAAGCTGTGCACCCCGTTTGCCCTTGAACATTTTCTCTGCCTCCTGTCGCTCCTACAGCGATACCACACACACAAAGTTAATTTAAGAACATTGCATTTTGCAAAGCTTCTGTCTTTGCAAAGAAAGATGCTTTGGCTCATCTTCATCAGTGAACATGGGTACGTGGAGACCAGATGTAAGAACAAGCACATAAACATTGCCCAAACGCTCAGACTCAAGACGTATCAACCTAGTGCTCTTAAAAGTAAGAACTCTTTCCCACACCGCGTCTTCACTGAAAGCAGAGGGCTCTGCTGCGATCGCTCATTTCTTTCTCTAGAGGTCTCTTCCTACCAACACCAGAGGCCCAGAAAAGCATCAGACTGAACAAGCAAAGGTAGTAAAACTTAACTAAACATAAACAGACTACATCCTTAACAGAATGAAACCATGAAAGAAAACAAAGAGCATGTTTTAGAGCCACTTAGGATACATAGCTTCGATAAAATTTACAACTACGGCAAAAAGCTCACTGTTACTGCTGAATTTTCAAGAATGTAACAAGAAAAAAAGGTATTCATCTTGTGCTCAATCAGAAGAAATCAGACTTACTTTGAGTTTCACTTTTTGAAAATCCAGCACTCTGACCTGGGGAACTTTGTGGATTACATACAATCTGTAATGCTTCTTATTTGTTACAGGATTCCTTAAAATGCTACAAAGTAAATAAAGGTTATAAAGAGGTTCTTAATATAAAATATTTTAAAATACACCTATACTGAAATACATTAATATACTTAAAATGCATTCATGTACCTCCTGCTATAAGACAACAAATAACACCATTAAATAAGCCCAGTGACAGTGTTGTTCAATATTATGACAACTATAGTAAAAACTTGCACTTTAAAGTATTTTATCAATTAAGTAGATTTTATTGATGAAGAACATAAAGAACAACCTCAAAATATTAAAAAAACCCCAAATAACTAGACTATCACATTTCCTACCTGGACACTGATCAACTAAAAAATCACAGGACAAATTGCTTTTCTTTTTTTGTCCCTCGCACCGAATGCAACGTTACTGAAAAGTCATTGTTTATATGTATTTTAAAGTAGTTTGTAACAACAGTTTAAACCCTTTAGTTTTCAGTTTCTTAAAGGTTAAGGTTACTTCAATGCTTGCGTATTGATTTACAGAGACGTTACATCTCATTGGTCCAACAGTCTGTCAGTAATATAAAGCCTCACCCATTAAATACCAGGTATTTCTGAAGCGTAGTGGAAACATTGTTTATCGATTCAATTTTTAAGCATAAAGAATCTGTCACGGCTCATAAAAAGGAGAGCATTCCAGATCAAAGCAAAGAGCCAGGCCAGCAGCAGAGTTCGAACAGCACAGAAAGAGTAGCTTTTCTTTTCAAGATTACATACCTCAGGTAAGTCAACGATTTAATAGTTGATAACGGATCCAGTTCACCCTATGTAATGGGAACACAGTAGGAAATCCTAAGTCCATTTAGTGAGAATCAAACATTCGAAAACAAAATTCCTGAACTCATATCTATTTTAGAGACCAATTAGAATTACTGCAATTAGTCTAACAGGAAAACCAGTAAGACTTTGTGACTGCTGTTCCACTGCATGCTGCAAATTATGTTCATTAAAATATGCCCACCAAAACCGTATTATATTACTCTAAAGAAAAAAGGCTAATTAGAAAAATGAGTAGTACCAACTATTACCAAAGGCATATGACGCTACTCTCAGGAAAAAGGTTAATTAGAAAGATGACAGACACAAATTTAAGCTCGTTTAGATTTATCCGGCATCGATAGCTTACCAATTCAGCAATGTTGTTGTTGGTAAGAATGAGCTCCGTCAGGCTGGGCAGAGCCTGTTCAAGGCTTTCACCAATCCGACTAAAGTACAACAAAAAACAAAGGTTTAACTTAGGCCAGAAATTAGCAATGCTGAAAAGACATGCAAAAATACGGTAACATAGAGGATCTCCCTGTAAAACAACCCAGTCTGACACTGGCAGAAGTTTGGGTTAGTATCCCCTACAATACTTTTTCTAATAAAGCTGGCAATAAATACCAGCCGTCGCTGTAATTAGATGCAACATGAGATTTATGTTCATTCACTTGCAGCTATCCACATTTTCTTGTCCTTATGGGGATGATAAATGAAATCCAAAGTTCCGGCCAAATTCCAAACTCTGCATCTCATTGTCCTGTCTGAAAAATGAAGACTGACTTTTGCACTGAATGAAGCGGGCAATTTGAAGAGGGCCTATACAGTACTCGGCACTGATTTTTTTTTCCATAAAACACTTCTACACCTACCCAGCACTGAAAGATGTACGCACTCGTCTCTCCCAAGAACATTTTCCTCTGCCCCAGAATCCCATCTGGCCAAAACACAACCGCTTACCAAATCCTATTGTTATTCATCAGAAGAGTTTTCAGCCTTCTCAACAGAGGGAACCCATCCAGTTTACGAATCTCATTGTCAGAGAAATCAATTGCATCGAACTGGTCCAGAGTGGCACCCAAGTTCTCAATAACAGGGATTTTATAGCCTGGGGAGAGAGTGCAAGACAGGAATTAGATGGTGCCCACAGGAGAGCAGAACAAAGCAAGAGACAGAGTGTGTAGGGGGCATATCTGGATGGACTGAGGATGTGGATAGTCTCAGTCAAAACACCTCCAGAACAACTCTCCTCCACCTCACACATAGACCAAACTCTTCCCCCCCGCTCAAAGCCAACAGCGCCCGCAGCCTTTTCAAAGCATCCTTCTTCCTCCCCCTCAGCAAACACCCCAACTCTCTCCCTGTATGTTTCCCTTCAGCCCAAACCCACCTTTCTGGCACATCCTTCGTCTGTCCCACCCCCACCACTGCAGCTTCCTCGGACATTTCCCCCAAATTCCCCTTCCATTCCACCCCCTCACTCCCCCCCCAGGTTCCCCTGCCGC